GCCAGCCAAGCCAATGACTGGATTAGTTGTCTATGTACCTGTCACTGTGGGCTATATATTCGAAATAACTACCAGTGGCACAGCAATGAAACTAGACCTGTTTACAGAAATTTGTTTAACTTTAGCATTGCCTCTGTGGGTTCTCACTAGTGAAGCGCCAAACGTTCCAAAAACAAAAGAGTGCAACGTGATATCAGCGGTTAGTCACGTCTCCTTTATGCAGGAATTGGAAGAGTCAGATGAACCCAAAATCCGGGCAGAAACTATTGTTGCTGTCTACTGGAATATGTCAGTCACTAACCTTCGCACAGTTTCCACCAAGGTCGTTGAACTGGTTACCTCATATGTAACGTCTTTCTTCACTTTGTACCCAACCTCAATGAAAATATTACCCTAGCACAAACCTTTTACACACGATGAATTATTTATGATTAGACTTCATAGTTCAGTCTTTCCGAACCTCATTTTTCGGTTCCATTCAGCAACTCACCTGCTAACTGCCATTAGTTTGCGAGACATCGTCTTTGAAACAGCTTCGCTTCAGAAAGTGGACTTAATTATTTTTTACATCTCGATTTTACTTATTTCCACTAGTCAGAGGCGTCGATTAGTTTTGTTGATTTAGCGAATGGTTGGACTTTGCGTCTGCTCACCAACGGGTAGGCTAGTTTGTACTTTGTTTGTAGACAGTAGTGAGATTATAAAGTTTTCTTTGGAATTCCAACCTGAAAAGCTAATCATCTGATAGCAAGAATTTGATCAATGGTATGTAGATGTTTCAGCTTGCTATTAGAATCGCTCATCGCGGTGGTCCCTACGAACCTACTACTAACCGTAATAGATGGACTGACTGGGAGTGTTTCCGACTCGTTTAAAGATTCGTCGAACGTGCACTACCCATAATTTCGAGAGAGGATGAAACAAGTACACAGTAATTTTCATATTTGCACCACGGAATGACTTTATTTTTGGAATGGGACCTCATTTCACATCCTACTGTTTGATTAAGACAAAAACCTGCTCATTAACTGTGAACGATCCGTTCAGAAAATAAAAAATCACGACTTACATGAACCTTCCCTCTAAGAAGTCGTCGCTCTAGGATTCAGTCCGGACTAAACCATGGGACGTCGGCTGCGTTGTTAGAAGATAATGACAACAATTCTTTCCTGGATGTAATTACTCACACTGTCGATTAGCGTGATGGTATGGTATGATTGCAGCCAGTAAGAGGGGCGTCGCAGGCTCCATTCCATCCGCGATTTATGAACCATGTCTTGTCGATGGGTTACAACATAAGGGAATTATTCGTGTGTTTTTGGCTTTGATCGTGGGTAGTCAAACATAATTATCTGTTTATATTTAACGTGTAAACAGCCATTGCTGTTTTGTGGCGTTTGCTGACTGATGCACTTGTTTTGTCAGTACATTCAGTCAGCCTGTCTCAAGGGGACGCGGTGCAGTCTATTGTCTCGCCTTTGTTGGTGTGACCAGTCTGCATTCGTTTCTTCCAAGGCATTTGGAAGTTTCTTCTAGAGGAAATGAGGGGATCCCTCATCACCAATCGAGCCATGTTCTGTTTTTTCANCATGATCATTGCTCTCAGAACTGCGCATTCATCGCGTAATCACATGTTCACGTGATGTTCTCTAATGTGAGTAGGAGACTGCCTACATCATCCTCTTTCTTCTAAACACGACCACGTATGCACCGACTTGTTTGTGCGCGGTCATCAGTTCTAAAATTGCTTACGACTGCCCAATCGAAACGGTTAGCCGGCCTGTGTTTCGTCAGAGCTGCAGATGAGATGCTACTGGTTGAGTCCATCACATGGAATGACCTCATAAGAATGCGTAAACAGCATAAAATTACGTTGAAAATTCTCGGTACTCATTCGCGTTCTCCGACTCAGAAGAACGGATAGAACCTCTCTGGTCACAGCTTCCTCTTCTTACAAACCAACAGATTATTGCATACGTTATATGTAGTAAGTTCAAGTTGCTTTGCATATATAAGTTTTGTACTGATATATTACATCCCGAAAAACAACAAAACAGATAATATTGAAGGATCAGCTGGTAGAAAGCCGGCTTAAAGGGTGCAGGGTTGCTAAACTGAGTTCCACGTCCCAGATAACAGGATTTTATAATTTATAGCGTATGTTTTTTCCAATGCAGCGTCCAAGAAGGTAAGCAAATTAGGTCAAATTAGAGAGCGGTGGTCGTAAAATGGGGAATACATATTCGGAAACGTTTGAAGTCTTTAAGTAGTAATAAGTTGATGCTAGAAAGGGTGTCATTACATGGCAGTTCGAATTGATTAGAACTGGATCAATAGAGTTTTGGTGATAGAATGTACTCACGCGTATGTAAATCAATAACTTTTCTGAAGTGCCTTGACGATGGTTTGATACAAGTTTATCGATCTCCAGATCATCTGGTATCCTACTGTATGTAAATTGGTCCCTTTCAGGAGTGAAGTACTCCATTTCACTTTCTCCCTTTCCACTTTACCCGAGCTTTCTTGAAGTAAATCACCACCTCCATCGCTGGCACCGTCTCGGACTATTTTAATTCTCATAGAATATTCAATCAGAATAAACCGAAAGTCCTACAGGCTTTCCTATCTGACGTGCAGTCAGGTCTCTTGTTTCCGATAGTCATTGGTCCATTAGAACTTCAAGGAACGGTTAATAAATAAGACATACCAGACCCGCACCACACGTTTTGTTCGATGTAGGGTATGCGCGCTCTATGGTGATAAAAATAGGCAAGACCAGGCATCAGCTGCACTGGATGTTCTGCTCATTCCCATCTTGTCATTCTGGTGTGTTGTTTAACTTTATCTAATAGTTAGCTTAAGAGCTGTTCGTAAATTGGACCTGTGTTATCAGCTGGGACAAATCTTTGTCTTCTGAGTGTTTTCTGAATGCTAGGAAACATTTGTAGCCCAACAGGTCACGAACTGGTCTTCCCTTACCCCTCGAAGATCGCTTACATTGTATGAGTACCTGAAGACAGAACTTAAGGCTCAACAGGTCCCTTCCACCTGGCACTGGTGCATCAGACTGCCAACAGTGGATGACTAAAATCTATTTTACGATATCAGGGAGTGTGACTTGCTTGCAATAGGTTACATGACACATTCAATACTAATGAGGTAAATAGCTTTAGCGACTTATGCGTGAGAGAAATTCCAACCGAGCACCCCGTAAATGACGAGTGAGATGTCTAAAATTCCGTGAGCAGAGCCATTTTCACCAGCTTTTGACTAAGGTGGATAAATGCGCCTATGAATGATTGGTTGGTTACCGATCCAAGCAACGTGCTTTTAGTTTAACCTGGTCTTTATATTGAAAATGTGGCAAAAAGTTAAAAAGCTCAGCCACATGATCCCGTTTTGTTGCTTTGTCCCATCAAATCCTACGTAATCGAATTCTGCGGGGAAAAAGTTTTTTCGTGGCTGAATTTTACGCACAATCAGCATCTTTAATTTCCAACTTCTTGTCGCTATCCGATGAGAATGATCTTCATTGAATTAGAAGGAACTGTCAATGAGTATTGCTAAGACTGTGATATTTTAGTAGTAAACCGTGACAACCAGGGACAATGAGTTGTGTAGCTCGAGGTGAAATATGTTGCTACCATCATATTAACAGAGCAAGAATAAAGTCTAACTATACTGGTCGTATGAGGTCTGAGGTTTGTATCCCCGTGACCGCGCGTAAAATGTACGTTCAAGGAACGGATCAAGATGCTTGAAACCAATAAGATAATAATCAGTGGTTACGGTTTTGCAAGCAAGATGTCAAATGTATATTACGTAAATCCTACGCAGTAGCTGGGAGGATACATGCAGTCAGGTGTATAATAAGTAATGAAGTTTAAAGCGACTGGCCAACCACGAATAATTGCGAGAAGGAAATTTTCGGATGAGTGAATAAGATGCTGCACCAGTAAAAGGCCGTAGTTAATCTTTTTGTTGGTGATGTCCGGAAGTAAACAAAACTTATTTAATGGACTTCGACTTTTGGATAGTAAAAATTTTTTTTCTTATGAGACGTTCATTGTCCATGATAATTAAAAGCTGATAGACAAATGCACGACCAGTGCGACTAACATCATGTTTATATTCTCACCTTTAATTTGCCACTTATTTTTTAGAACTTCATCTAGCTCATACGATAAGAGGTTAATTTGCTAGAGTTCTTAGAACGGATATACTAGGGTGTAAGTTGCTTGCAATGGATTAACTCTTTAGTTGCAAGAAAGAGACTTATCTCTTATAGCCCCGAGAACTAAAGGCAATAGGACACGCCATGCTGAATTCAGCAGTATAGGAGCACCACTAGTAACCGTTACGCATAAATATTGATTTATTGAACGCTGAAAAGCCATATCATGCTTAGTGTTTTCGGTTAGCAAGCTTCTAGTAGAGGGTGGGTTTTACAGAATAGACTCGCACGTTTCTTTGGATTGTACTTGAGCGTTTGTGAGTGGGGTATAGTTGAAGCATTCCTTTTTATCAGACAGAAACGATACTCCAGTCGGCAAGAGCCGAAAGCAGGCAATTGAAGTTCAACACTTCTTACAACATAGTCAAACTTAGCTGTTTATTTGGAGACATTCCTGTGGAAAAATTCAGGGAGCTCTACTTGCAAGATGTGATGAATCATTGGTCCGAAACACCACATCTCAACTCTCTCCACTGATGTACGGTGACCACTTTAAAAAGCCACTAGAATGCACATCACTAAAGCAAATTTTGCGCGGTAGTAAATGAAAGTATACTTCTGAAGAGGACAATATCGAAGAAGTCTTTTTCGCTAAATACTTTAGGATGAACAATTCCGCTCACAGTAACCTCTTCTTTCATTACGCTAGCCATGTTATCAGTGAACGTGGTCAAAGTTGACACCAGCAGATGGTTCACCAAAGCTGTCAACAGTATGAGCTAAATTTGACGTCAGTCAGGCTTTGGTTCTTGAGGTGATCTGAACAATGGAATCTGTCTATTCCTATGTAATTTACCCAGTTGTATACCCCATGCTTTTGGACTTAAGTCAAACTTTAAAATCCGCTTATTCCTCTCTGACACATATTGGTTTACATAAGACCGTTCAAAATGGGATCACTGAGCGCGAATGCTACCTCTATCGAATGACCCATCACCAAATTCGAGTGCAGAGATTGATCAGCTACCAAAGCTTCTTGAATTATTGATGTTGTGCCACGTACAGTTTCGTTGCTCTCGAATGTGATTCTTGATATAGAAACAGTATTAGGAGAATACAGAAATCTTATCTGAGCTAGACAGTTGCATCCATGAAGATGTCTTAGAGACTTTTAGTTGCTGTATTGAAATAGTGCTCCCTCTAAACAAATGGATGATATACGTGGTCACGATAAGTTGGCTGGACACACGCAATTACAGATTACATTGATGCTAACGAGAGACCTAGCTGAAACGTCTATCAGACTCTCCTGCCAATAAAATACATTGCGATGTCCCGAATGTCATACCGACTGAAGCTTGAGGCAGCGTTTGTGAATAACGTTCAGTTAAAGAATACCATAAGGGGTAGATTCCGTTGAGACTGTCTGTAACATCAATATAGGTTGTAACTGAATGTGCTTCCACAGCAGTGTGCAATTCAATATTCAAGTAGAGCATAAGATTGAAGGAAGCTCCTAGACTAGACCTACCTGACGAGGAAGGGCAAAACCGGTGTCTGCGCTCTAGTTGTAAAGTAAGTAAGTTGATTATCAGAAGGTGACAAGCAGTAAAAATGTCTGTTTTACCAGAATGATGATGAATACAATAGTTAGGTGCACTTGACAAAAATCGATGCCATGCGAAAAATGGAATAAGCCAAAAGGTGACTTATCGTTTGAAGACTCTTGTTGAGAGTTTCTGAATGAAATTTCTGATGCCGGACGTGTCTTCTCTGCAGCATAGCTACCACACGTGTTCCGTAGTTATCAGCGGAGGCCCGTGGAGCTCGGTTGGCTTCCTGTCCTGTGTGTGTGTTGGGCTGAATTGTATGCCTATTTATTGTGTACAGTATGAAGATAGTGGTGCCGCTTCGTGTTCGATGCTTGCTCGTTTGAGTGTTTGTGACGNTCTTTTTCGCTAAATACTTTAGGATGAACAATTCCGCTCGCAGTAACCTCACTGTAACATTCTTCTTTTATTACGCTAGCCATGTTATCAGTGAGCGTGGTCAAAGTTGACATCAGCCAATGGTTCACCAAATCTGTCAACTGTATGAGCTAAATTTGACAACGTCAGTCAGGCTTTGGTTCTTGAGATGATCTGAGCAATGGAATCTGTCTATTCCTATGTAATTTACCCAGTTGTATACCCCATGCTTTTGGACTTAAGTCAAACTTTAAAATCCGCTTATTCCTCTCTGACACATATTGGTTTACATAAGACCGTTCAAAATGGGATCACTGAGCGCGAATGCTACCTCTATCGAATGACCCATCACCAAATTCGAGTGCAGAGATTGATCAGCTACCAAAGCTTCTTGAATTATTGATGTTGTGCCACGTACAGTTTCGTTGCTCTCGAATGTGATTCTTGATATAGAAACAGTATTAGGAGAATACAGAAATCTTATCTGAGCTAGACAGTTGCATCCATGAACATGTCTTAGAGACTTTTAGTTGCTGTACTGAAATAGTGCTCCCTCTGAACAAATGGATGATACACGATAAGTTGGCTGGACACACGCAATTACAGATTACATTGATGCTAACGAGAGACCTAGCTGAAACGTCTATCAGACTCTCCTGCCAATAAAATACATTGCGATGTCCCGAATGTCATACCGACTGAAGCTTGAGGCAGCGTTTGTGAATAACGTTCAGTTAAAGAATACCATAAGGGGTAGATTCCGTTGAGACTGTCTGTAACATCAATATAGGTTGTAACTGAATGTGCTTCCACAGCAGTGTGCAATTCAATATTCAAGTAGAGCATAAGATTGAAGGAAGCTCCTAGACTAGACCTACCTGACGAGGAAGGGCAAAACCGGTGTCTGCGCTCTAGTTGTAAAGTAAGTAAGTTGATTATCAGAAGGTGACAAGCAGTAAAAATGTCTGTTTTACCAGAATGATGATGAATACAATAGTTAGGTGCACTTGACAAAAATCGATGCCATGCGAAAAATGGAATAAGCCAAAAGGTGACTTATCGTTTGAAGACTCTTGTTGAGAGTTTCTGAAGGAAATTTCGGATGCCGGACGTGTCTTCTCTGCAGCATAGCTGCCACACGTGTTCCCTAGTTATCAGCGGAGACCCGTGGAGCTCGGTTGACTTCCTGTCCTGTGTGTGTGTTGGGCTGAGTTGTATGCCTATTTATTGTGTACGGTATGAAGAGAGTGGTGCCGCTTCATGTTTGATGCTTGCTCGTTTGAGTGTTTGTGACGCATGGTCTAGTGAGCAACCGCTACACCGGCAGTTTGCTCTGAAGATCCATTCGGAAACCGTATGAATAGTCTTTTCTAGCCGCGATAAACCCTTGGTGAGAGTTCAATATTCGTCTGTTATCCCTTGCCTCCTCTATGTAGTTGATCACCGAATAATCTACCTTACATAAGTTCGCAAGTCTTCAAAACTAAAATTCTTTTGTCGGTAATTTTTATTACTTTGCTTGATAAGCTCAAACTCTGTTAGGCATTCAACCACACCTACAGAGTAATTTAAAAATCTATCTGTGTGTGCCTTCTTGATCATATCACGTGATCAGTCCATGCAGATTACTGTAGATAGTGATATATGTGACTGTGATCGATGAACTGGTAACTGATGAATAGCATCAGTTATCTCGTTTCGTCTATCACTCCGCGTAGATTTTGTTCAGTAGTTGAAAACTATGAACTGAAGCGTGCGCGTGATCGATCGCATGACCAGTACTCAGCACATTCAGTCGAGCCGGTTGTCACAACTCTCTAAGTGGTTACGCTGTTGCTGTGATAGTTCTTATCATCGAACACCTACCGCGCCTCATTAGGTACTTGATTGCGACAAGCGCTATGAGCGATTTTCCACGGTCCAGTCGCCATTTGGGTTTTAGGGAAGTGAATGCACTTTGCCGTCAACAAACTGGTAAGAGCTGTTGTTTTTCAAAGTTTGTTTTCCGAAAAACACGACAATGGGAAATTCAGCTACAGTATCTTCAAATGCGAATCGGGGAAAATTGTCTGGAAGTAAACAGGTGCAGAACGGGTGCAATTTGGAGTAGCTAGTCCTGTTTGGTTAGATCGACGTGCACCAGTTAGGATTCCAATGCTATGTTGATTGCGGTCCTACATTAAAGACATCAGCGAAATTGATGTGGTATTTAGAAACAACAGAATATCGGTGTTGTTGAGCGTGGATACTGTAAATTGATTGAGATCAGTCGATACCAGCAGGTGCTTCGGTAAGAGCCATCTGCGTGGGTCGAAAAGGTACCAGGCAATTTAACGTGCTGGTTTTAGCAGTTTAGAAAGATGACAAGACTACAGGCAAAAACTTGACCGATCTAATCTCTTCAGTCGAGTGACAAACCGAATCCCAATTGCTAACCAGAGGAATCTATATCTAAAGATTTCATCGGATAATGTGGGTCGAAAAGGTATCAGGCAATTTAACGTGCTGGTTTAAGCAGTTTAGAAAGGTGACAAGACTACAGGCAAAGACTTGACCCATCTAATCTCTTCAGTCGAGTGACAAACTTAATCCCAATTGCTAACCAGAAGAATCTATATCTAAAGATTTCATCGGATAAAAGAGGTAACGTGGTTGACGATTTATGGGGAACTAGAAAACGCGGGATATTTTCGGTCAGTAAATTCGTATGTTGTTGTGTTATTGTAAAGAAATTAAAAAAATAAACTGCGTAATAAAGCAGTTCCAATCAGTATCTGATTGGTTTAATTATTGGTCTCATAAATGAGATTATTTCATTCCATCTTGTCTCCTCTAGTTTCTTGTCAAACTTGCTTACCTTGATTTTTTAGTCAACACGTGTAAAAACGTCGGGACCGAACTAGGGAAATTTGGAACACCTCTCTGGTTAATCTCACTTGGAAATAAAGGGCAACTGTATTGGAAATTTCCGGGATCAAAAGAAATTTACCATATAACCCATTTGACTACAGTTCAGTGTCATCAAATCCACTACCGTTGGGTAAGGAAAATATTCATTTTTGAAGCTCCAAGCTCAAAAAAAGGATGAAGAAACAATTTCATTCGCAATCGGGGATATTCTCCTCGAGAAGCCAACTAGTGGAATATGAGGAAGAACCAGTCATCACAGACGTTACATAACCCACGACTGACTTCAGTGATGGGGATCACTTCACTGAAATGAATAATTTTGTATCGCATTTAAAACATTCAATATCTTTTTTTACAAGAAATCTTCGCTATCACCCTTTCATCTAATCCTACAGGACCAGATTAACGTGTAGCTCCACGTATAAATTTGTAGCAACCAACCATACACTCAAAGTGGGTCTCAGGGAGTCGGGTAAGGAGCGGCCCAAAATTTAATCACCTCTACATGTGCCTGTTCTAGATGGTACTTTGAAGACATAAATCAGTGTATTTCGACTAAGTATTGCGTAATTCTAACCATTCCTAACCTATTCAGCTGAGATGCTAAGGTCACCCTGATCGAGTATACTGTGGCTAAATTCCGCAATCCGTAGTTATTCTCAGCCGATAGATTATAAAGTTGAGCTAATTTGCCCATATTTTCTCATTTGTTGTTCACGTTCTTCAGATACAATGGTTAACGGGCAACTTACCACTCCCGATGATCTATGCGCACCTCCATCGACTCCCGCTCTCGTCTGGACACAAGAGGTAGCTCGGAAATCGGGTCAGGTTTCGTTTGATTTGAGCAACAATTTGTGCTACGAATACGAACGTTCCGATATCCCCACAGCCCAAGGCGAGCGGATCATTGGTTACGTCAGTTCAACCGGTGATGCACCAGGAGAGGGCATCAGCCAGACACTCAATGGACGCAAATGCCTTCGTTTGAGGCGAGAAAGGGAAGCAGTTTGGCACGTTGAAAATCCTTATTATGAGGGGATATCAACAGCAAATAGAAAACCAGGGCATTCTGTCTCTCAACACGGGCAGAATCGCGCCACACTACTCATAGGATATTCATCGAACCTCTATCCATCCCGATTCGCTTCACAAATGCCCGTGGTGAACGAGATTCCTGCAAGAATCTTCCGGTTCGAACCGCGCTCGCAATTGTCATGTCAAGAAAATTCTCCACTGGTTTTACAAAGCGAGAAACCTGGCTGGAAAAAACGCGAATATCATTACAGCTCTTCGCCCACACTTCCCACATCTGATATCTCCCCCAGTAGGCCTTTCGGACTCCGTCACGATTTGAAGTTTTATAAGGGTGCGACCTTTGAAAGACCAAAATCCCAAAACCGAAGGTCACTTTTTCAAATCATACGGGCTGGTTCCGATCAACCAACCACGTAATTAAGCAATCATGGCAATGATCGACTGTAAAGATTAGGTTTCGATTTGTCAATCAAGAGAATGATTACCTCGTTTTCTGTCGGATTTCAATGCAATATTTCTGCCGGCGCTATAGTTGATGCATCTCACTATCCCGGCTAATTTTGGTCCACGGGGAAACTCTTGATTTCTTTTCGAAAGGTAGGATTTATTGCTTGCTTCGGTATGAGGTCTATGTACATGTTTCCACCTTTCTTCATTCTGCTAGTGAAGTGAACTCTATTTGATCTGACTCACTCACACTCGAACCGTTCTGATTTCTCTCAGGCATACAAAAACATGAAAACTTTTGCCCAATTTCAGCTCATGTTTTGGCCCATAGTGTTGCGTGCGAATTTCCGTCTTTGAAGGTATCCGATTACCCGAAGGGGTTCTCTTGCTTGTTGCTAGATTCTTGATAGTAAACTGACTTTTATGATCTGACGGCTCAGAAACCAGGAATTTAAACCACCCGGAAAATATTTACTCACATGCAGCCAGTCGCGACCACCGGAAAAATCCGAGGACAACGGCTCAATCATAAATACTGGGGATAAGGGTGATTTAACCGGCGAACAGTCTCCAAAACTTACTACCCGCGACATGTTTTGGTTTGTGCTTAACGTCGAAACTAAAGCAATGATATTTTCGTTCCAGTTGGTGTTCCACTCCAGACAAGGTTAGCCTTTTCAGCACAGAACATTAAATTATGTCCTGTAGTTTATTTACCAACCAACCACCCTATGGTCCAAGGTAGTAACCGAGTCCATATGTAGTCACCGTCAGCTGATCGCACCAGTTAGCTTTTCGCAACTGAAAGCGATTTTGGAACTATTGGCAAGCTGTTTTGATGGTGGGTGAATGGTGGATGCCCATTATCATTCCAACACTAATCAGTATGAGTGGCAAAGCCTACCGTTCTGTTGTGGAACAAGCAGACCACGGGAAGAAAGTAAAGCGGAAGAGTAGGTAGACGAAGCGACCTAACTGCCTTGCGTCAGTGCAACCGAATGCTTCTCAAGCGCCGATTATTAAGCAGGAAGTTGACCGGGGGCCACTACCGGCAGAACTAAACAGGAATGTATGCGTTGGAGATGACGCACATGAAAACATGCAGAATGCCCACATTCATGATGTGTGCTCACAGAAACAACGAGTGTATGTCCATGTCGGTGGAGAGTGTACTCGTACTAGGGAGTGTGGTCATGAATGCTTATGCAGCACGCCCAAGTAGCATGACTACGAGTTCTTTCGCTGGAGACACCTTGAACAGAAGTGGCACTGTGAAGCAGCCACACACTATGTTGTAATTATTAAAACACTCCTGTTAACCGTCAGACCAATAATAAAGTAGCTAAGCGATCACTGTCGCGTTCACAATAACGACCAAGACAACTGGACGTATTTTTTGGCTAAGTCTATCTGCGTGGTTCTGGGTCATACAGTCATAAGGTCATATATTGGGGTACAGTATGGGGGAACTATTGTTCGTAAGAATTATCATCAACCATGAGCATCGGAAATATGTTCTCGAAGCTTAATCAGCAAGTGTGAAATACGGCAACGTGCAGGGCCACTGATTTATGTTGTTATCAAGGTTACTGCTGAGAATTTGGCTGAACGAAAAAAAAAGATCTATATGGGCTACAGTAGACTTGTGGTGTCCAACTGAGTGACGTTAAGTATTACTCTTCAGTTATCATTTTCATGCAGAGGTTATTGCTGAGAAGTTGGCTGAACGAAAAAAAAATCTAAGTGGGCTACAGTAGACGGTAGATTTATGATGTCCAACTGAGTGACGTTACGTATTACTCTTCAGTTATCATTTTCATGCACGCTGGATTCAGTAACAGCTAAGGATTAAGGATTTCAACTATCTTTTGCGCCCAATTGTGCATCACACAAACTGTTGTACAACGTATCACCACATCATTAACGCTATGAGACAGTAACGAAAGTCCGAGCACGACACTTATGCTACGAACGTAGCTGCAATCCGAAAATTTCAGCCACACAATCCTCTAATCCACTATCACTAATCAGATGAGCTCAGCCGGATCGGACATGTCAACGGCCTGAGATCACTAATAAGGGTCGTGTGTCGTGATGAATCCCAATGGAGGAATACCTCACGTTGTTGGTATCTATTTATTAAAAAAAGTGGAGTAAACATTTTCACTTCACTAACAGGTCCTTCACCGAGATCCATGACCCTCCAGGAATCAACATATTTGAATTAATCAGTGGCTGGTTTAGACCAAGGTCACATAAACTTGATACCTTGTTCACCATATCGGTGAGCAGATGGCCGTAAATTGATTCGTGCCAATATTCCCAATCTAGGCCCCAACAAAATCCTGATTGACACCTAGTGATAGACTTCCAAAGATAAGGCCAGCTTTAAACGGATGGGGCCTCACACGAAGCCTTCTGTGAACCTATAAAGCGAATGTAAAGTCCTTCATTTTGTTCCATCAAAGTGGGCGATCAACAGTTAGAATGACGTTAGGAACAGCTAAGGAAATGCTCAGGGGGAGGAGAAAACTCATACCTATGGACTAATGAACTCAGTGTGACCTGTGAGTTTACAGGAGGGTGAACATAAGTGTAGCTATTGACTTTATCATTCCAAAAGGTCCAGAGTTGTACTGATTTGTCCTGATTTACGAACTTGGAAATAGCGACATTGCCGAACACTTGCTTGTCACTGCTGCTAGTTTCCGTCCCCAAGCAACACCGAACCCTACCCCTAATGAATGAAACGATGTCAATGAACGCAGAGTAACGAGACGCAACGAGCTGAAAATAGAATCACCGGGTGGTAACATCACAATGATTGGGTGATTGTCTGAGCTTGTGAAACATCGTCATGTTGTCACAGGCGCAAACGCGCCCAACACATACAGTGCCAAAGGAAGACGAAGAGAGACATGTCAAGTCACACGCAGCAAATCTCTTATCAAAAACAATTCCTATAGGCCCATATTGCTACTTCGTACTGTAGGTACTGCTGACGTATTGATATCCATGACGGCAGTCTCGGAGATTATAACATTCCCGTTGGTAGCGGACAAACGTGAAGTGAAACGGTTGACGCTCCATGCCATACTCGGCAGGAAAACACGATGGAATTGTTAAAGCTGCAGACTTATTTGGGACATGAAAATAAGATCCATGTTTGGTAAAACACAGGCGCCGTTGCAAATAACAAACCATCCACGTCACGACGATGCATGACTGTCTCCAAGGTTGTTTCGATTTTATACGAAAAAGTTGTAGTTTTGCTACCAAGTACACTAACAGCTTACTCAATTTAGGTAGCAGAGATCTAGGTAAGTCACACGTCCGCTCTGCCTGTCGTGAGATAGAAAAGCTGACTATACTGAGGTGGCGCGCACAGTAGTGCCCAGAACTGCTCTTTTAAAATCAATAGAGAATGGTGACTCTTGTAGACCTTAGTAGTTCTAGAAGTTTCAAGTACTTAACACAAAACACAAAGCAAGACTTAACTCTACTTCGTCAAAGTCCGGTGGCCCATGGAAAAACGAGGTCTTAATTCAACCAATTTCATTGCAAATCAATATGACGTCATAAAATTCGTTCGAAAATACAATAAATCCATGCGATACAAACAATATTCATCAGACAATCTTACAAATGGTTGAATGATAAATGTTGCATATTGAACCGGTATTCACTGAGTCATTGAATTCGTGGCGGAAAAAGACAAAAAACTCCGCAGTATGAACTGAACGTGAAAAATACAAAGTGTGGTGTTTCCAGTCGAATTGGGAAAGTATCCTACACACAAAGATAAATAAAAATATCGAAGTGATAAAAATGGATAGGTGGAAAAGATAAATTACGCAGAAATGCACCGATGTCAAGCGAGTGTAGACAATGATCACTTAATGACGGTTCCGGGAGCGGCGTGAAGTGCCTGAAAAGTTGAAACAGATAGCTGTTAGATGGAGGAATCACCCAATTTCAAGCATAAGCAGAGTAGAGGAACATCAACCAAACATAGGTGAGAGGAAAGGTGAAAGCATAAATGCAAGTATATTTCATGTTACTGCCTCGCTAG